CAGCTGTGCCAGAGCTTGTGACTGACCCAAGGTCACATCAGCAGGTGCAAGTGGAGGAGTGGGGAATCAAGCCCGCTTCTCCCAGATTAGAGTCCGCACACTTAACCACTACACCAGACTGGCTCCATATTGGAAAGGTGTTGGCGGGTGCCATGGCTCCCATGGGCATCACGTTGGTGACCCCTGCTCTAACCAAAGGAAAAACTAGTGCCCAAGAAGCAGCAGATTAGGAAGGGTGGCCGTCAGTGTCTGCAACAAAAGCACACATTCTCAGTGGTAGAGATTGAAGGGGGGGGGAGAGATTGTTGACTCCCAAACACAACCCTAAAAGAGAGCTCTTCAGATACAAATCTGATCCCGATGTCCTCGGGGTTTGCCATTTGAATGATACACAAACAAACTGAGCGTTGGTTTAATTGCCATTCTTGCACTTTGCACCTGCTCCAAAGCACTCATCTCTTGGGCCAGCCTTTACATTTAAAAGGGAAAGCCTTTGCATATTCATAACTTTAAAAAGAACTCACATGCCAAACACCAGTACATGAATTTGTATTTTTCTCAGTGTTTCAGCTCTCCACTTTTTGTAGTTGCTTGTGCCAATCTGTGAGTATTGTTTACAAATGTTACTTGGTATTTATACTCTGTTTCTAAGCTACTTATACCGATGAAGTATGTCAATTATATAAAACGCATACCGCTAATTTATCAGCACCCAAATGATGTAGAAATACGTGCACATCCTATAGGAAAAATTCAGTGCACGGAAATGGAAAAAATGAATCGTACATTCGACTCACACAAGGAAGGCGTGGAAGCAAAACGGAATCAAAACAACAAAATGAGACATTTGGAATTATGTCACTTGCCGGGACTCAACCACCCTGTGACTGGCCTGTAACTACAGTGGGGGCGTTGGGGGCTCTGCCCCCTCCTTAAAGGGCCAGCCCCACAAAAAAATTGAGAATAAGAATTTTTTTAGAAGATTTTTTGAGAAGAATCTGGGGGGGTGCGTACGGGCTGCCGGCTTCTTCTCAGACGCATTAAAAGGGATCCTTTAAATGCCTTTGAGAAGAAGTGGGGGGACGGTGCACACACCCATCCCTCCCTCCCCCAAGATTTAAAGGGCCCTCCAGCGGATCGATGGGCCACATGCTCCTTACCGATCAGCTGAAGGGCCCTTTATATCTTGCAGGAGGGGAGGGAGAGGGATCGCCACCAGCGGTAAGGTTTGGGGGTGGATTGGAGCAGACATAAAAATAATGGCAGCCTCAGCTCCGCTAGAAAAAAACTTTGCCGCAAAAGCCACAAAATCCTGGCTCTGGGCCTGCCCTGTAAATTTCCAGAACATGCTGCAGAAGAGCATCAGTTCTCCTGGAGGAAATGGAGGCATCAGATTTTATTTATTTATTTATGAATTCGGTTTATAGCCCGCCCTCCCCGCAGCGCAGGCTCAGGGTGGCTCACAATCAGGCACAAGCCTCACACAAAACAATTAAAAACATTTAAACGCCTGCTCCTTGGGAGGAAAGCGATGGTGAACCTAAACAGCATGATAAAAAGTAGAGACATCTCCCTGCCAACAAAAGTCTGCATGGTCAAAGCAATGGTATTCCCAGTAGTCATGTATGGCTGCGAGAGTTGGACTATAAGGAAGGCCGAGCGCCGAAGAACAGATTCTTTTGAACTATGGTGCTGGAGAAGACTCTTGAGAGTCCCTTGGACTGCAAGAAGAACAAATCAGTAAATCCTAAAAGAAATCAACCCTGACTGTTCCCTGGAAGGCCAGATAATGAAACTGAAGCTCAAATACTTTGGCCACCAAATGAGAAGGGAGCACTCACTGGAGAAGACCCTGATGCTGGGAAAGATTGAAGGTCAAAGAAGATGGGGACGGCAAAGGATGAGATGGTTAGACAGTGTCATAGAGGCAACGAACATGAAACTGAGCCAACTTCAGAGGACAGCGGAAGACAGGAGGGCCTGGCGGGAGCTGGTCCATGGGGTCGCGAAGAGTCGGACTCGACTGTGTGACTGAACAACAAAATCAACATATTTCGATCAATCAACATATTTCGACATTATTAAGTGCTCTCGATGTTCAAGTTAAGTTACCATAAAGATGCCGTATTAATGCTGTTATATCCACTCAGTGCCAGATGGCAGACACTAAGGAACCGCATATCCTGAGCTCCCTCCTCTTCCCCAAACCCCACCCTTTCCAGGCTCCACCCCAAAATCTCTAGGAATTTCCCAATCCAGATTTGGCATCTCTTCCTTGTTTATTTTTAAAACCGGAGTTGTTTCAGGAACTTCTGAGTGCTCAGCTTTCCATAGAGAGATAGAAAAATATTTACACTTGAAAGTCTTTTCAAAAAAGTGTGAAGACGGTCGGGACTTCTAAAATTTTCATAAGCACTGTTAGCGCCTCCAAATGTCACTTCTTTCACACTGGGCAAAAACTCTATGGCAGCAACATTTATCCTGGCAACATTTGCTAATGGCATTGGAATTCTTTTAACAGCCCTTAAAACTAGAGCTAAAGAGGCGCGGGAATGGACAAGACGACACTGAACTGGAGAGACCTACCTAAATTCAAATCCCTACTCACCCCTCATGCCTTGGACCAGGTATTATTTCCCAGCTCAACCTACCTTAGAGGGTGTTCTAAAGATTTTTTTTCAAGGAACAAGGAAGGAAGAAGCATATACAAATGTGATTATTTTTTTTTTACAGAAGTGGTATAGATATTTGATAAATGACATGGCCTTTCCTCTCTGTCTGAAGAGCAACTTTCGTCTGAAGAGCCAGTTTGGTGTAGTGGTTCAGAGCATGGACTCTAATCTGGGAGAATCGGGTTTGATTCCCCATTCCTCCACATGCAGCCAGCTGGGTGACCTTGGGTCATTTACAAGTTCTTTCAGAGCTGTTCTCTCAAGGGCAGTTCTTGAAAGAGCTCTCTTAGCTCCACCTACCTCACAAGGTGTCTGTTGTGGGGAGGAAAAGGAGATTGTAAACTGCTCTGAGACTCCTTTGGGCAGTGAAGAGTGGGTTATAAATCCAGTCTCCTCTTCTTAACCACTTCCGGTCCATCCTTTGGCACAAGGCATGCTGACACAGCCATCAGGCATGCCAAACAAACATTAGTCCTGCCATTTAAATCCATTCTTGCTAAAGTGTCAAATCAATGTGCAAGTGATGATGCGAACCGTGGAAGCTGGAGGCGGCCAAGAACAGGTCAAGGAGAGCATGTTAACATTCAGTCACAGTCAATGTTCCCTCTAAGCTGAGTTAGTGTGAGCTAGTTCACAGTTTTTTAGCCTCTGGCTCACACATTTTTGTCTTACCTCAGGAAGGATGGCTCCAGAGCAAACTAATTTATACAGTTAGCCAAATCGCTCACTCACAACTTAAATTTGTAGAATGTTTGCTCACAAGACTCCAAAGCTTAGAGGGAGCATTGGTCACAGTACAGGACCCACTAAATCAAAGACCAATATTCGTAGGTGATAGGAGAAACCAGAAGCTTGTTTCCCCAGGCCACGGTATGATACAGTAACCCTCTGTTCCCATCTGTACAGCAGATAAAGGGCAGAGGTGCAAATCTCCCAGAACATTTTGCTGGCAGTGACAGCTGTATCATCCTCTGAATTCCTAGCTGACTGGCAAGGATGCTATGATGTGAGTTAGCTATTATCAGGATGTGGAAATCTTGAAGAAGAATTCCTATTTTACAGTCTGGGCCAGAGCAATCTATGAGAATTTATGATTACTAAATGGAACCTTCACGTTCAAGGGCAGTAATATGTGGGCTGGATAACACTGCTAGGGGGCAACAATAGGAGACCATATGACCTGCTTTGTAGGCCATCTGAGGGCATCCAGTTTGCCATTTTGTGAAACAGAATGCTGGGCTAAATGGACCATTGGTCTGATTCAACAGGGCTGCTCTTATGTTACTGGGTATCATAGTGATTAAGAGAACTCTATATAAAACTAAATGTTATTTCAGTAGAAAATTATCTACCCTATAGAGTTTGGCCAGGTTTATTTCTCCCTTGCTGTAATTTAGATGTACATGGTTGCTCGTTTGTAGCTACAGGTTTTATTCGAGGTATGAGCTTTTGTGTGTGCACACACTTTTTTTAAGCGTGCACACGAAAGTTCATACCTCGAATAAAACTTTGTTGGCCTTAAAGGTGCCACTGGACTCTAAATTTGTTCTAATGCTTTAGACCAACACAGCTGACCACCTGGATGAAGCTACAGGTGTTACCATTCATGTATGTTCCATTAACATTCACACTGCATCATGGGTTTTGTAGTCTCAATGCTGCCTGAATCCTCTTAGTATTTTTTACACACACACATGTTTAGTTCTACCAGGGAAACAAAAGCAGAACATGTGGATGTGTTTTGGAATGCTCATGTTTGCATTAGGTGTGTACATACATCATTTCACATTGACTGCCTCCTCTCTAATTGAAGAGTGGCAGTTGACTGTGTGAACTGGGTACTGGGGGGGGCAGCGCTGAAGTGATGCAAGGTGATATGAAAGTTCCGTAGATGGTGTTAGATCACAAAGCTCATTCACACATGCAAGTCACTGAGTGATGGAAGGACATATGTGGATCAACAATAAGGTTCCCTTTTGCATCTGAATCTAGAAGCATTATTTCCTTCTATTATGATTACCCAACAGGTAGGAAACCTTTACAGGTTTTCAAACCCAGACTAGCAACTATGTCTACATTTTATTCTCAGAGATTTCCCTTTTTCCTTTCATTTCATTTATTAACTTCATTGACCAGAGGTCTTAAGCCAAACGTACAAACAGCTACTATAAAAGATTTCCCTTTTTATAGAATCCCGGAGATGGAGGGATGGATTCGCTTTTTTAAAAGCACTGAGAAAGCAGAACGTTAACACACAGCCACCAAACAATATGGTACAAGGGCTGATCTTTTTGGGTAGAAGAGGTATGATGAGAAGGTGCCAGAGCTTCAACAAACCTGCACCATCATGGACGTCACCATGTTGTCAAAGGCCCTGGACTGGATTTGGTCTCCAGGGATATAAAAGGGGTTGCAGATGACATCTGTGTAAGAATTATGCAGCTTTCTGAACATATTCCAGATTTCATTGCCTTGGAGAGCCATGTTGGAAGAATCCACCACCATAATAAACTTCACTTTGGAGTTTGTCACATAGCCATATACTTTGTAGTCTTCTGTTGGGTACAGCAACCCCAGGTAGAGCTCTCTCTGATCCACAAGAGCCTTCCCCATTGCTGAGATCTTCTCATCCATGTCGTCGAGGGAAGTGTGCACCGTGTAGTGGAACTTGAGTTCATTTTCCGTTGGGGTGCTCTTAATGTACAGAGGGTAATTCTCCTTGGCGATCACAGCAATGCAAACCGCCATCTTGGGTCCTGGCGGGCTCACTCATTTTCTATCTCACAGGAGCATATGTACCTCAGTTGTACCCTACTGCAAACAACTGGCCAGGAAAAAAAAACATGCGTCATTTGTGGATTAATCGCTATTGCCCTTGGGTGAGCAACATGCACAGCCATGTGACAACCCAGCATGCTGCCAGTGGCAGGCTTTATCACCTGCACAATACCTTTCAAACATGTTTTACCAGCCTAACATCAAAGACCCTGGAATGGAAGTATCTTTCTGGCAATACCCCAATCACGCAGCACAAACAGAAAGCTTCAGAGACATTGGAGACAAAAAAGAAAAGGAAAGGAAACCAATTGTCCCCCTTGGATGTGCTTGAACATAAAAGCAAAAAAAAGAAAAAGACCCCTCCCTTTTTCCTTCCCCCCCCCAAAAAAAAATTCACCTTCTGCTTGGACAATAACAGCATCATCTAACAGGAAATAGAGAGACCGAGACTCCTGTGGAATGACCCTACATTCTGTTTACAAGTCTCAGAAAACCCCCAAAGGGGGAGATCAAAATTGAGCCTTTGCTTTTGATCTCTTTTTCTCTATCCTCCTTCTCAAATTAATTTAATATGTTAATTAATAAAGTTCCTTTGCACTTCTGAAGTGCCTTTAATCCAAAGGTCTCAAGGCACTTCAGCAGACGCTGATTCTCAAAAACACACAATGTGTGGTAAGTTTCAGCGCAATCTTCCAAACAGGTCAGAGAAGCCGAGGAAAAGGTCAGTGCAGCCAATTTCCTGGACATTCTCCAAGAGGAGGAAGGAGGGAGATTGTGGGGACATGAAGCGGGCTCATCAAATCAGCTTTTCATTCTGAGTTCAATAGGTGAGATAATAATAAAAATGACAATGATGGATGGATGGATGGCATCAGCATATCCTGAGGTGGGTCAGCTGCCAGGGCCCAGAGCCTTTGGCAGGGCCCACTGAGGATGACCCACCCACTTATTTGATAACTCTCCAATGTGCTTCCAGTGACATGTACTACCAAGAGGCACTGGGGGAAAGGCTGTGGGCAGCAGTGAGCATGGACAGTGGGAGAGCTCACAAGTAGGCAGGGGAAGGACACACAAGCAGGTGAGAAGCATGTGGGTTGGAGGGAGGGAGGGAAGGAGGGCATGGGGGCCTGGTGGTGGGGAGAAGAAGGGATAGGGGCCCCAGGAACTCTCTGCCCAGGGCTCTTCAAAACCCAGAACCAGCCCTGGGCAGACAGACAGACAAACAGGCCAGTCTCTACAACAAAGAATAAATGGATTTGTCTGACATTAGAAACGACAACATTCAAAAACCAGTGGGGGAACATTTTAACCTTTCAGGACATTCAATTGCTGAACTAGGAGTAGCAGTTCTCTTACAAAGGAATTTAAAAGGGAGACTAGAAACTGCAACTGATAATGCAGCTCAAGACAATGCATCCTCGGACTTCCGGTTAATGGAACAGCGATGGCGGACGCTCTCCTCACAACGGAGGAGGGTGAATCGCACACCATCAGCCTGGAGGGGTGCCACCTCAAGTGACACCCCCGGGGAGCCTTTGCGATAGGCTCCAGGCCAGGGGGCTTTTGAGGGGTAGCCTCTTTGATGGTGTAATGCCAGAGAATTGAGGCTCCCCTCCGCCCCGAAGGTCCAGTCGCTGAGTGGCCTTCAGGCACAAGCTGGATTGACCGGGACAAGCACAGGAGATTGAGCGGAATGGTGTAAAACCGAGCATGGTCAGATAAACTGGCCGACAATGAATGTGAGTTCTAAATAAAACGGAGTAGTTTGAAAAGCGATCCCCCCCCCCTGTGATTGGAAACAGAGATTGCAAAGAGGGATGCCTCTTTTGCGAATGAGCTGTTAACGGACACAAAGGGGGAGAGGGGAGGAAGTAAATCGAAAGTGTTTTGAGAGACTTATCTGAATTGTGAAGTCTTTTGGTGAGTTTTCCAAGTTATGTGGGAGCGGTAGAAACTGTAAACAAAACAGGAAAGATGGCGGCCCAGCAGAGAAAGTTTAAAATGAAACCGGGCAGTCAGAGTCCAAGACTGGAAGAGGGAGCAGATGTCCTCAAACTCCTGGTGGATATGCTCAAGCCGGTGATGGAACAACTCGATGGTATTAACCAGCTATTGACTGTGATGAATAAAAACTTTGCAGCACAGCAGCTCCAGCTGAATGAAACAGAGAAAAAAGTGGAGCAGGCAAACAATAAAATTAAAGAGATAGACACCACAAGCAAGAAGTTGAAGAAAAGGATGGGAGAGGTGGAAATGAAGCAGAATTGCCAAGAGAACCGAGTTTTACAGCTACAGATGGAAAAAGCTAACATGGTTCTCAGGTTTCAGGGGGTTCCTGAAACAGATCGAGAAGACTTGAAGAAGGTGCTTAGTGAAATTATCGCCCCAGTAGTAGGCTTAACAGTGGATGAACTTGTAAATGAAATGGAGGTAGCCTATAGGGCATACTCCAATTACATTTAAAAAATAGCCTACCTGGAGAAATAGTGGTCA